GGGGGGGGCAAGCAACAGAGCCATGTTGAAAGTTGCTATTTGGATAGCCCAAGTGAACGGTTAACATCTCGAGTCGGTCGCATTCCGATTTCGGCTCGTCGCCTGTCGGCGTTCGATCGCGCGACGTGTGTGAAGTTCGACCGGCTAGACGTCGCCTCTACCGTCGCCGTATGTAGGGGTTTCTCAGATGGTGATTCATCAACGATGCCTCGTTGCTGCCGTGCGGCGTCCGTTCATTGGCTGCTGCACTTACAGCATTTTCGGGAATCTCCGCCTACCGAGAGAGCGCAGGTAAACAAGTGTGTCAGAGGGCTGTCGCTGACTAAATCATCGCTAGCACAACACCGGCACAAATGAATGTGACCATACGATTATTTGCCTCATTCACAACTTCGTTAGGATAAACGATTCGTTCCTTGCTGGCTCTTTGATCAGCAGGTGGACGTCCTCATTTCAAAACGTGGAACCTTTCACCTTCGAGTCACACCGGAAGTGCACCAGCATCAAAATCTAATTTGAAACTGAACGTACATGTGACTCGATGATCTTTTGCATCATCGATCGCTAATTTTGGCACAGATCTCAATATTTCACTCAATATTTATGAAAAACTTGATGCTCTAGAAGCGTGTTTCTCAGCAAAACGAAAGCAAGGAATAACAGCAATCGACACAGCATACCACAGTGATGCTTTTGTAGTCATGGGAAGAGGAACGACATTCAACTACCAAATATTACATCTAGATATAAAAATTTTCTAAATGTATAAATTAAGTCTAATAGCTGTTGCGACCTTTGTCTTCGAAGCAGTGTAGAAACCACCATCAAACCTTACTGCAGCCAATCAGTGACGTACGGCAGAATGCAACATTGTTCGGAACGTGTTTGGTTATAAAACCAATGCTGAATTTCAATAACATTTTTTGAATTGCAAAGTCTTTTCCTCTGCTCACCTTATCCTTAAAGTGCAATCAAGCTGTAGTATCAACGTGATGTCTTTAAGATATTATTTTTCAGCACGAATGAATGTGATTTCAAGGTTTCATAAACTTGATTACCTAACTTTAGTTCAGGAACACGTTTCAGCCACGGTTGAAAGATGGAAAAAAGTTTTTCAATGTCATGACAGTGACACACAACGTTCTTGCTCACTTGAAGGGTACAGAGGGGTTTCAGTAATTCTAATTCCCAGATACTTTATCAACTATATGTGTGAATAATTGACAATGTAATCAAGAGACGATCCGTTTTAAAATGAAAGATTTTACTTTGCAATCAGCTTTTGGAAATAGAGAAAACGAACCCGGTAAGACAAATGCAGAGTTACACCAAACAAGGCATTATAAAACATAATCGTAATGGCATTTAAAGAATCCTAAGCAGATGTTAAATTCGATTAGAAAACACAGATAAATGAAAGACACGTCACACCGCTCAAACATTGCACCTCATATGGTTCCTACATTTGACGGTTGTTGACATACAAAAGGCTGTCAGCAAAAGTGAACTGAAAAAAGAAATCCTGGACATACTTCAAACTCCACGTTAAGAAATCGAACTCTATGAAGCAGCCTTGAATGCCACGATCAGAAAGCACTGTCTGCCCTGGAAGTGGCATGATCCAACGACCTGTGTCGTCATGATACATCCATCCCATGGTATTCAGCGATATTCTTGCACATCTTTTGATTAAGAACGTGTCTCCCAAGTAAGCGTCGTAGAACAATTCTGAAAACCTGCCCAGCCGTCTGACATCTTCAATCGTTTGAATGGACTGCAGTATCTCCGGAGGGAGGTTGAGGCACGGCACCCATGTTGCTCTTGTGCAACAAACGCCTTCAAGCGTTAACACATACTTCTCCATGTAGTTGTTTCTCGACAAGCAGAGGGGGCACGGCGGCGACGGAGTTAACCAAGGTGTTGGTGCCAGCATGCCTGTGATTTGGAACGGTGACTCCGTCACTACCGGCAGAGGCCCGCTTTGCAGGTTTCCACCGCTGCCGTAGTTACTTCCTCCTTGACTCGTTGCATTCTCGTCAACCATGTTTCTTAAAGAGCGAACAATCACGTGGACATCAAGGAAAACAGCACTTACTTATTACCTTCTGCAGCGCTCTCACACTCCGCAACTCCGTCCAGACTCAACAGGCGTAAATGACAACAACCTTCTGCGAACACCCTCCCGTTCGACCATCGGCAAAAATCGATAACGCTTTTTCATCGCGGTCCGTCAGCACCGCCTGCTCATTGGGCGTCTAGAAGTCCAAAGCTACGAATAACAACATTGGGTATAAACATAGGTCGTCGCTCATTTGTCAACCTCGTCCGCTGTTTGCTAGAAATGTGAGAAATCCTCATTAGGGTGGTAGGCTGTGATGAAACATTAAATTACCGTTTGACCTTCAACCTTTCAATACCTTTGTGCATTGCTTAAATGTACACCACTTTTGAACACCGGTTTGAAGGGTTGTCGTGAAATGACCGATTTCTACGACCTCACTTTACTTCTTCTGTTTTTACTTCTTTATGAATGTAAATGGAACTGTTTTGCTTAATTCATGCATTATAGGGAAACGAGTAGCTCTTCATCGCCGTGTTAGAGTTGTCGATTGAAGTAAGGGAAGAGTAATTTTCACCGCAACTGAATCAATTGATATGAGGCAGCGTGGAAAGTCAGAATTTTTTGGAATCAAAGAAATATAGCACAAATAATAAGTTATGTTTTCTTTTCAAGGCCAACTTTTAGCTTATGCCTATCCTGGCTGCGTGCAACCTTTTGATTAACAGACCTCGTTGCAAAATATGATCAATAACAATTTTGTCGGCGTCTTTGAATTTCGAATTTCAGCGTCTCTTTGTTCATGAAGTTTCAATACAATTAAAATATACAAACTATTTCAAATCTGTTACTGTTGGATGTCTTCCTCGCAGAAAGGACCTCAACGATCGTCGTGAATGCTTGAGTGAAATATAGCAGCGTATTTCTGCTGTTCGATAGGGATACTGAGGCAACATTATGCAAATTTTGATCAGAGCTAGTTTTGCTCAACGAGATATGACATTGTCACCTCTTCTTCAAAGCGGCTGTTGTCCTCAAAACTTACGCATTCATGGATGATGGCGATTATTCATTTTTCCAGGGATGTGGCGATGACTTAATCTGAAGTACATCTGTGGAAATGGTCACAGCTCTCTGATGGTTTGCGAGAGTATTCATTCAATGGAAGCTACCACGGCACAGTCCGGTACTTGGTTTGCAGATCAACTTATGATTATCGCAAGTCAGAAGATACGACAAGTGAGGTTTGCATCGTCATGGACCAAAAATTAGCATGTAAAAATGGGAATTGCTGGTGTCCCAGTTATTTAAGTGACATTATCAGTGACGACAGATCAAAGACGTGACGAAAAGCTAAGATATTAATTTTCATAAAAGCTAATGACGACATAATGTCGTCCAGACAAGAAGATTTCTTAATTCCGTAAGCCGTATGGTTGCCAATTTCAACACTTTGTTCTACAACGGCTCACGCATATTGCTCAAGACAAGGTGACACCTCTGACACTTCTAAGACGAGGAATCGCAAATCAAACCAATATTAGAATTCATATTCGAAGTTCATTCATATCCATATGCTAAATCTGTAGTTAAGTGCCAATTGACACATCATCTTTGTAGAATGCATCAGATCTCTTTTTGACCAGCGAAGATCCAGTCCACCTGTTGCGTTCATTGTGGTTAGAGCAACACAAGGCAATCTTTGTTATTTTTGCGAATGTCATTTTTGAACTGTTCTGAAGCGACCTCTGCCATAAATCCAATTGCCCATTCGACAGTCATCACTAAAATGCATATTTAAAAATTCAAGATCCACAAAAGATATTAGGGACAGAAAATTACATATGACTGAATTATTGTTTCATTTAAACGTACTGGACAACTATAAGAGTAGACGGCATTAAGTCCAAAACCCACCATGACAAGAAAAAGTTTGAGTCTCATATCATAAATATTAAGGAAACAATTCATCGACCTTTAAAGTTTGAAAGCGCACAGCTCATGACAACATTAAGGTATGAATTGCTTTTAGAACCTAACAGCATTCGTGGTTTAAGCTAATAATTTGTGATCAGAGTAGGCGATGGAATCATTGAAGAAATAATTTCAAATCTAATACTTTTAATCAACTGGATATCTTGTAAGGTGCTGAAGATCCACGAAACGTTTTTTAGCATGCTGCTCTTGAGGCCATAATTTCGACTAATCTTCAAACCATACTCATTCCTTAACAAATTTAGCAGATGACTAATATAGAATTCCTCATATAAAAAGCAATACAAAGAATTCTGTTACCGGAATGTCACTTCTAATTCACTTCGTCTCATTTCATGCCGCGTAGCGAAGATGGGACTATGAATGGGATCCGTTCGATGGATCATTATTGGAATTGCTTTCCTTCTGGCAAATATTTTATTGTAAATTACTGAGGAAGCAGCAATTAACACAAAGAAATAAAATCTCGATCGTCAGCGTGTAGCATATGACTGTTGTAGCAACTCGTCAAATAAACAGGCAGTAAAGAGTTGAGTGACGCTCATCGCCCTCATTGATCGCTGCCTCAGATACGCCGCCGGGAAACCGTGGGACCGAACGGCAAACAAGATGAGTGTACAAAAACCACCTATGTTAATCGGCTCTATCGCTGTCCTCTGTGAGTGCTTGAAATGGCTGCAAATTAGCCCTGCTGCGAGTTTCTGTCAGAATCCCCAGTTGTCCTCAAGCCATTAATAGTTTTTCCAGATTACTCAAACGTACATTACTGCGTTACACTATTACTCGTTTCTTAGAAGACCACGTCAAATGAGATGTGGTACTCGTTTGGTAGTCTGCCTGTAAAATGCTGCTACTTTGCTAGATCAATGGTTCACTGCTAGTAAAATATTGGACAGCAAGAGGCGTATATCTCGTTCATCGCCACGACCATATTTTAAGGCGGATCAAAGCCAACAAGTCTAGCATCAAACAGTCTGTCGGTCACTACTAATTCTATTCTCGTTCTCTTGAGACCACTATCTTCTAGCGGGGAGCGTGAATATAGTGAAAGATGGAACAAATTTGATTTGATATGATATGATTTCAAAAGTCCCTTTGGTTAGACGACAGGTACATTCAGTTTCCGTATGTCGTAGTTAATTCAAATACGTTCTTATTGTTCCTAATTATAATAACCACCTTTGAATTAAAATCGTGACTCATATGAAATTTTATGTAAATTTCGACCCAAAAGCGAAATCAATGGCTTCACTGACTACGAAATAGATGAAGGTTGGGCATATTGCCAGGAACAAGTTCATAATTTAAATTTAGATTTCTCGTTAGAAAGAATTTTATTTCAATTCAACTAATTTTGCTTTCGTTAGAAGCAGATTTATGAATGACAAATGAGCTTAATTTCTCTGACAGGTGCGAAACGCGGCATGGCAACACACGCTGCACCAGTTCTGGTCGTGTAGCGGGCCCATTATATCAAACAACGGCAAAATATCAATGCAATGGAACAACTATGAATTCGGAATAATAAGTAACTGCTCAGATTCAAACTCATAGTATGGCTTTGAGGAAGCACAGGATCTACCACTCAGTATGCAAATTGATCTAATGGTCACGATTATTATAAAATGCTCCTTGTTCATTATAACAGCACACAGTACAATCATTTTCTGTCATATTGGTGTGCTGCGTATGGTGTACACTGATGCATGGAATATACTACCTCAATGAAAACC